GTATTTTTACTGTCTTTTAAAACTAATTTCTTTATATAACTCCTGTCCCCACTATTTAACCTCCTGGAAATTCTTACTATTGTCGATAACAGAGCTGACCCCTCTTGTTTGCTTTAATGCCAGATCTAGTTTATAATTATTCATAGTTTGTGCTTTGGGAAATTGCTGACCCTACTATTCCTTTTTTCCCCCATGGTAATAATATTGTAGCTGTCACAGTAATAACCGAATATTTATAGTAATGCTGTATGTTGTTTGTGATGTTTGGGTTAGGATTATATTCTGTGAGGGTTGGGAATCTATAGGGACACTACCAGCTCACAGGATAGAAATTCTGCTGCTAAACTAAACTCAATGAAAATACAGTACATCTTGCTCCACACACATATTAATGACACTCAAATGTCAGCTATACTTTAATACAAAGATAGAAGAGTCAGGACACCAAACTAATTACCAGGCCCTAAATAGAAATGTAAGGGGTCCAAACTCAGGTCCCACCTACAAATGTCCATAGTTATAGAAAAAATGTGGAGAACTTATCAAAAGCCTGTGCATATTACACATTCAAGAGGGTCTTAATCTAGATCACCCTAGGACACTTCAGCAAGTAAAGGATGTGCCCTAAACTGGCTCACACATTAAAGTGGAAATCAATCCCAAAAAATGTATAAAACCCAACACAGGAATACAAGAAATATGAAAGAATGTGACATGACGCCTCCTAAAGTACAAAATTCACCAGTAACTGACCCCAAAGATATTGAAGTGTATGAAATATCAGATAAAGAATTAAAAAGAATCATTATAGCAGAACCGCCTCCCGCGCCTGCAAGATGGGCAGACCTGCGACTGACCGGCGGAGCAGGCCCAGCGGCCTGCCAGCATGGTAGTCATGTCACCACAATTGGAGCGGGGGCAGAGCAGAACCGCCTCCCGCGCCTGCAAGATGGGCAGACCTGCGACTGACCGGCGGAGCAGGCCCAGCGGCCTGCCAGCGTGGTAGACAGATCATCCCTATTGGAGGAGGAGCCCAGCCATTGCCCAAAAGGTAGGCAGACCACGTGACCTGAAGAAGGGGCCCAGCGGCCCACCGGCCTAGCTGAAGGATCACCCCAATTGGAGAGGGGCAGAGCTGCCGCCCTCGGCTGCAAGGTAGGCAGACCTGCAACCTGGAGAACAGGCCCAGCGGCCTGCCAGCGTGGTAGACAGATCATCCCTATTGGAGGAGAGGCCCAGCCATTGCCCAAAAGGTAGGCAGACCACGTGACCTGAAGAAGGGGCCCAGCGGCCCACCGGCATCATAGACAGATCACCCCAATTGGAGGAGGAGCACAGGCACAGCCCGCCCCTGCAAGGGAGTCCTTGCAACTATATAAGAGCAATCTAAATATATAGGGGAAAGATTCAATAACACAACAGTTTTACCAAGCAGAAAGAAACTCGAGCAGTATGAAAAGACAAGGAAAGAAAGGACCAAAAGCAATGCAGGTCAACTCAACTTTAGAAGAGGTAATAAATGCAGCAGATGGAATGTCATGTAAGATTTCAGGATTTACATGCTTCAGATGATCTGGAGTCTCAAGGAAGACATTAGACAGCAAAATCAGACAATGAAAGATCACTTTGACAATGAATTACTTAAACAAATCCAAGAAGCAAAAGATCAATTATATAGGGAGATAGAGGTTATAAAAAACAAGCAAACAGAAATCTTAGAAATGCAGGAAGTAATAAACCAACTTAAAAACTCAAATAAGAATACAACCAGCAGAGTAGAACACTTAGAAGATAGAACATCAGACAATGAAGATAAAGTATTTCAACTTGAAAAGAACATAGACAGCTCAGCGAGACTGTTAAGAAACCATGAGCAGAACATCCAAGAAATTTGGGATAACATAAAGAGACCAAACTTAAGAGTCACTGGGATACAGGAAGGTATAAAGGTCCAAACCAAAGGAATGAGCAATCTGTTCAACGAAATAATAAGAGAAAACTTCGCAGACTTGAAGAATGAGACAGAATTCCAAATCCTAGAAGCCTACAGGACACTGAATGTGCAAAATCATAAGAGATCCACACCCAGACACATTATAATGAAGATGCCCAACATACAGAATAAGAAGAGAATTTTAAAAGCTACAAGAGAAAGGAAGCAGATTACATTTAGGGGTAAGCCAATCAGGATAATAGCTGATCTTTCAACACAGACTCTGAAAGCAAGAAGATCCTGGAACAACATATTTCAAACGCTGAAAGAAAATGGGTTCCAAGCAGGAATTGTGTATCCATCGAAATTAAGCGTCATTATGGAAGATGAAATTAAAACCTTTCACGATAAACAAAAGTTAAAAGAATTTGCAGCTAGAAAACCATCTCTTCAAAACATCCTCGGCAAAACATTACAGGAAGAGGAAATGGAAAATAACAATG